TGCCTTGTCTACTCTTTACTCCTTTTCACTAAATGAGATTCATGTTTCTCTGTGTTGTCATTTTATCAAATGATACTAAGAAGGTGTGATGAGTGTACCCATGTAATTCTGCTTCACAAATGCAATAGTTCTCCTCTAGGTAAGGTTTTCCAGAGAAAACTGCTTCCAGAGTTATTTCACAATATTCTAAATCAAACACTTCTGTTGTGGAATATTATTTTAGCTAGGCAAAGATGTGTTACTTGTGTTTATGCTGCAGAATATTACTTTAGCTATGTGAAGGTGTCTTGCATTTGCTGCCCTTGTTAAGGATGTAAAGATATGTTACATTCATTTGCGCTGCTGCATCTGTTTAAGTAGCTAAAGATGTGTTGCATTTGTTTCACCTTGCCTGCCTAAGGTACCTGATTGGTCTAATAAAAAGCTGAATGGCCAATATATAGGCAGGAAAGGGATAGGTGGGGCTGGCAGGCAGGGAGACTAAATAGAAGAAGAAAAAGAGAGAAGAAAAATGAAGAGAATGAGGGAGAAAGAGAGGGACATGCATGGGGCCAGAAGCCAGACAACCACCAGCCAGCCATGCAGACAGCAGGAAAGTATGATCTACAGAAAGAAAGAAAAGTAAAAAGCCCTGAGACAAAACACAGATGAAAAGAAACAGGATAAGTTCTAAGAGCTACCAAGAAACAAGCCTAAGCTAAGACTGGGGATTGAAAACCAGTAAGACTCTATGTCATGATTTGGGAGCTGGCTTGTGGCCCAAAAGAAAAAACCTGGTACACACTTCCCACAAGATTTAACTCACAAATTGTTTTCAACTAATGCTGGAAGATTTGAAATTCTAAATGGTATTTTCAAAATGTTACATTGAAATATGACTTATGCTACCAGCAAAGCATACTTACTAAACTGATTTATTCTTTGTTTAGGCTAGCTTTGCTTTATCATTTTTTATTTTTATAGTTAATTGTCTGTAGGTCTCAGATTTTTTTTCATTTATAATTTCTCTACTTTCCAACATCCTTTTGTTTCTTCGTGTAATCTTTTACAACCCACCTATTTCTAATATGGTTTACTCCTACCTTCAGTGGCAATCTGAAAAAAATTTATGGAAAACGAAAGGGCAAAGTAGTTATCTTAGTCTGTTCTCTTTTGCTACAATGAAATACTACAGACTGAGTTATTTATAAAGAATAAAATATCATTCAGCACATGGTTCTGAGAACTGTGAAATTTATGATCTCTCTAGAGAAGTCGTTCTTGCTGGTGGGGGTCTTCTACCCTGTCTCTGGGAGATGCTGGCCATCATATTCAATGAAAGCATTTTTTTAATATTTATTTATTTTACATCCTGACCACAGTTTCCCCCTCCCTCCTCTCTTCCCAGTCCCTCTCTCATCTCCCTTCCTCCTTCCATCCACTTCTGCTCCCTTTCTATTCAGAAAAGGGCAGGCCTCCCATGGATAGCAACAAAACATGGCATATCAAGCTGCAGTAAGACTGAGCACCTCACCTTGTATTAAGCTGGGACAAGGCCACCCAGTATGAGGAATAGGGTCCCAAAAGCCAGCAAAAGAGTCAGAGATAGCCCCTATCCCCACGGTTAGGAGTCCCACAAGAGGACAAAGCTACACAACTGTCAAAGATCCAAATGTAAATCCACACACACACACATGGACACCTGATTTTCAACAAAGAAGCCAAAATTATACAATGGAAAAAAGAAAGCATCTTCAACAAATGGTGCTGGTATAACTAGATGTCAGCATGTAGAAAAATGCAAATACTTATCTATTGCCATGCACAAAACTCAAGTCCAAGTGGATCAAAGACCTCAAGATAAATCCAGATGCACTGAACCTGATAGAAGAGAAAGTGGGGAATAGCCTTGAATGCATTAGCACAGGAGACAATTTCCTGAATAGAACACCAATAGCATAGACACTAAGTTTGACAATTAATAAATGAGGCCCCATGAAACTGAAGAGCTTCTGTAAGGCAAGGACACCATCAATAGGACAAAAGAGCAGCCTACAGAAAGAGAAATGATCTTCACCATCCCCGCATCAGACAGAGGACTGCTTTCCAAAATATATAGAGAAATCAAGAAGCTAGGCATCAAAAAAACAAACAATCCAATTTAAAAATGGGGTACAGGTCTAAACAGAGAAGTCTCAACAGAAGAATCTCAGAGTGCTGAGAAACACTTAAAAAATGTTAAACTTCCATAGCCATCAGGGAAATGAAAATCAAAATGAATCTGAGATTTCATTTTATACCTGTCAGAATGACTAAAATCAAATACACAAGTGACAGCTCATGCTTGAGAGGATGTAGAACAGGACGAACACTTCTCCATTGACGGTGGGAGTTCAAACAGCCCCTTTGTACAGCCCCTTTGGAAATAAGTATGACAGATTCTCAGAAAATTGGGAATTGATCTACCTCAAAATTCAGCTCTATCACTCTTGGGCATAAACCCAAAGGATGGTTGTGCAAGTGTCCTTGTGGTTACCACAAGGACACTTGCACAACCGTGTTCACAGTAGCTTTATTCATAATAGCTAGAACCTAGAAACAACCTAGATGTTCCTCAATTGAAGAATGGATAAAGAAAATGTGATATATTTAGACAATGGAATGTTATTCAGCTGTTAAAAACAATGGCATTATGAAATTTGAAGGCAAATGAATTGACCCAGAAAGACAAACATGAATGGTGTCTAGCCCAATAGTCAGTCATCAGAGAAGCTTCATCCAGAAATTGGTGGAAACAGATGCAGAGACCGACAGTCAAACCTTAGGTTGAGATCGATGAATCCTGCAGGAGAGAGGAAGGAAGAATTGTATGAGCCAGAGGGGTCAAGGACATCACAAGAAAACCCACAGAATCAACCAACCTAGGCTCATAGAAGCTCACAGAGACTGAACCGACAACAAGGAGCCTACATGGGACTAACCTAGACCGAGTGCATGTATGGGAAAGAGTATTCTAGTTCAGGTCACCCCTTTTGCTTTAAAAAAAAAAGTCATATTCTCACCGAACTAGAGGTCCCTCTTCATCTTTATTAACTCTAGTTCCTAGTTATCTCCCTTAATTACCTCCAAATACCATAGTCAAACTAAGTATTCTGCTTGCCAGTTCCTCATCATGGGGATTAAATTTTAATTAATAAAATTAATAAATCCATTGTGATGGGGACATTCACACCTCAGCCATAGCCACCACTGAACTTTATCTTGTGCATATTTATTTTCAATGTAAAAAAATTGCCAGTGCTCTGAGCACAAGGAAAAAGATGAGGGAATAACTGAAACCTGAGGAACCTCCAAAGTTGACTTTGAGTAAGTGACTGTGATGCCCAAGAAGTTAAGTCACAATTCCAGATTCTGCTGGGAATGACCATTCAGATCCAGCTAATGCCTGGCTCTGGGTTTGTCTACTGGCTATGACATCTAAGGGCTCAAAATTTCTAAGATTCCCAGATTTCATCAAGACTTCATATTGACTTCCAGTTCCAATTACATGCTATTGCAAAGATATATGATTATTTAGATCATTGATGATAAATAAACAAACACTATATTTTATGATCTAGTAGGTCTGGGAAGAATGCCTCAGAGAGAAGCTGAAAAATATCCTAATGAGAAAAATATGCACAGCATAAATCATAATGGCACAAAATTGAAGCTGGAGAGGCCAATGTAAATAATTCCAAGTATTTAAGAAATATACAGTTCCTGTGAGATCTATAAATATAATTTGTCCTTATCTTTGATCACTTTATGCATTCCTTGTAATGAATTTCATACCATGAGAAATAATTTCTAAGATCTTAGAGTGAAAATACCTCACTTTAATACTATTCAATATTCATTCTGTGGTGGGTACTCTGCCGTGTACATTTTATTATTTCCTTTACTTTTTGAGTTTATAGTATAATTACATCATCCCCTCTTCCCTCTCCTCCCTCCAAACACTCCCATACAATTCTCTTTCCTCTTGTTTTATTAATTGTTGTTGTTGTTGTTGTGTGTGTAAATATATTTTTTTCTTAAACATTTAACTACTGACTACTCAGTCTGTATGTTGCAGACTATGTAGTCTCACCAATATGACTGCCTATACATGAACTGAACAAGAACAGCATCAATAGACAGGCTAAAGTGAACAGAAGAAAGTCCAGCAGGCCTCAACCTACACGAAGAACCACAAAGAACTAAGGAATACTGAGAGCAGAAGAAATAGTCTTTGCCAGCAAAGAACATACAAACTGGTTATCTATTACCAAATATCTCTGCCATGTACTTTTGCAAAGATAGTCACCTGCCCAGTAGAGGGGATGTGGTTTCCAATTGAGAGAGATAAGGTCACAAGGTTTAGGAGGGCAGCCTGTGTCCCACATGAATGGTAGGGATGGCATGTGAAGGTCTGTGTATTTCATGAGCCCTGCCACCTCTAGTGTGCCAAGATTCTACTGTGCATCATTTTTGGAGGAGGAGCTGTGCTTGTCACTAAAATGTGTATATTTTCAGTGGTATCTTCTTTGAGTCCAGTAAATAATTTTTATAGTTGAGTATGTTAGTACTGCATATGTACCTGTATTAACCAGTGGTGACTTATTTAAATGTATTCTCCTTTTGGTCATTGCCTTCTAATATCAATTAACATTTTATATCACCCTGAGTGGGAAAGGAGCATGCTATAACTGTAAGTTCTCCTTACACTTGCTCCTCACTCACCTGTTCTGTGTCTGCCCAAGGTTCTGTTTTCACTTAGTTCTAACATTTAGAAGCATGTACCTTAATGGTGCTGTGAGAATTCAGCTGCTTACAGTTAGTTCAGAAACAGTTTCTGGCCTGTGAGGCGATAGTCTGACATTAGATTTCCATTTATCAGGTAGCATACAGAGTACAGATATGGGTCACAAATTCATAAATGCAAGTCCAGGTCTGGAGTCAAGTTCCCGAGCTTTATCTGCTTCTGTTTTACTCACCAGGTAAACAAATGGAGCAGATCTAAAAGGTGGATGTCACAGAATGTTCAGGTAAGACTGCATCCTTAAGCTTCTTGTTTTCAAATTAGTGTCTCTGGACAAATCTGCTTCACCTGGAAACCTTGAGTTTTGTGTATCCTCAGGACTGTATTACAACTGCCATGAAAGAACTGAGAGTGGAGATCAGCCACCGTATTTTTTTATTTCTTTATTTTTTGACATTGTATTATTATTAAATCATTTCCCCCTTTTCTTTCCTCTCTCAAAAACCTCCTATATAACACTCCTTGTTCTCTTCAAATTCATGCCCCCTTTTTATTAATTTTTGTCACAAATACATACATACAAATACATATATAGTCTCACCAATAGAACTGCCTAAACCTGAGATAAACACGGCTGTTGCCAATACACATGCTAACATGGATGGGGGAAAGCTCACAAGGACTCAACCCTACAAAAAGAACTACAGGCAAGCAAGGAATGCTGAGAGCAAGAGAAACAGTCTTTCCCAGGGAAGAGCATGTCAATCAGTTACCTAACACCATATGATCAGCCCTGAAAACATGTACATGAAAGCAATGTAATCCAGGCTGAGCAAGTTGTATTTATATACTCATCCAACTGAATTTTAACAAGATCTGCAGGTGAATCATGGACCCTAAAGAATCTTCAGTTTATCCAAATGAGTTAGTAAGATTTTATCAGTTTGAGATTAGAGTGTTGCTTTGAAGCCTATTTTATCCTTATAATTTGTAATCCTGGAAGACTTCAGTGTTGCTGGAGACATTCAGAGTAGTGAAGCTATTAATATAAATTCTAGAGAAGAAGCAAATGTACCCTCATGTTCCTTTCAGCTATAGCTGGCAACACTGGGGATTGTTCTCCAGATGGCACCTCAAGCAGGAAGCTCAGTCATTACTATAGCTGCTCATTGTGTTTTTGAAAGTCAATACCAAGTATTGGAATACACTGCTTCACTATATGTTTTCTGAGTGTGACTTTAGAAAATCAGTCATGTGACTTGGTTCTTTAAGTGCAAAGAAGATGATGAGCACAGAAACCCTATGAAGCATAATTAACAATTATTTAAGTCTGAATATTGTCAGGTCTTTGCTCACATTCAAGAGTTACATCCAGAGAAACAAGTGAGAGACGACATAGACATACAGTGACAATCCTGGGGGATGGGGAAGGGGGAGTCTATGCTATTAACTCCCTGTAATGAGATAGCTTGAAATTAGATAGTAGGGTGCTATTGATATAATAGATGAGACTAGAGAGATAGCTAAATACAAAAAATATCTGTACATCAATATATCAAGAGAGTGAGTAATTGTTGTAAAATTTGCAAAATTAATAAACCCAAAGGGAATACCATCATTTTACTACTTTTTCCAATGGTTAGATAGTTTTTTTGTTTTATTTTCAAAGTTAAATGCTGGTTAAAAAAATTAAGTAAAGGAACTCATCAGGAAGGATTTTGAAAAGTCTTTTGGATGTCTCTATCCCATCATTTTAAGATGAAAGAAAACTAAAAAAAAAAAAAAGTAAATGAGTATTAAGACAAACTCATTTTGAAAAACTACCTAATACATTTCTTAATCCATTTTTCTGTGGGTATTCAGACCAAGACCCCAAGACCTAAACTATGACCTATAAATATTCAAACTTGAGGGGTTTATGATAAGTCTTAAATCCCACCAAAAATCTTTACCTGAAGAATCTTTACCTATAATCTGCTTCATGATTTTTTGGTCCAGTCTCTCCTGGGCCTTCATTTTTTGTGTCTTCTTTACTATGTTTTTTTTTTTTTTTTTTTTTTGGTTTTTCGAGACAGGGTTTCTCTGTGTAGCTTTGCGCCTTTCCTGGAACTCACTTGGTAGTCCAGGCTGGCCTCGAACTCACAGAGATCCGCCTGGCTCTGCCTCTCTTTACTATGTTTTAAACATGAATGGAAAACAGAGGTAAAGACTTACTGAATACTTGTAATAAAAGCTATGCACTCAAACCCATCCCGTAGGAGCATGCACATGTGAACCTGTGCCTGAAGGGAAAGAGACAAGAATGAGAGGAGGTGGTATCAGCCTTCTAAAAAGGTTTTGCAAAATAAACAAACAAAAAATTTCCTTAAAATTCAGAAATTCTACTTTTCTAAGTAGGAAAACACTAATGATTTGTGTTTTCATTCATACAACTCCACATTGAACTGAGATGAGTTAAAATGATGTCTCCTAGCCTCCAACATCACCTCATGAGGGCACACTGTTCTCTGTTGGTTTTGTACCCTTTAGCTGTATCATATACTCAGAATAAGATTATTATATCCTACCTAAACATTCAGTGTTACTTCTCTCAAACTACTTTGCTATATCATAAGATATAAACTAAAAATTACATGTAATTAATCCCAACATATATTTGTACATATATGTACATTTATAAAGAGACAGATATACTTTATCACGAAATAATAACTACCTTGAATTGTGAGTGTGGATCTGTGCAATGCACACCTGTGTTTGAATAAAATCTTCACCAGCCATTGACGTGTTTGAATAAAATCTTCACCAGCCATTGACGTTTACAAATTAGAGGGTTGAGAAAGAAAGATTTTCCTGGTGCTCTATGTTTTGGATTGTCTTGTTATTTTGTTCCCCCTCTTTTCTGAAAATTTTGCCTGTGCATTTATTATTTCACTGAAATGGAGCCGATTGAGATGGCAAAAATCTCTAGATAGTTTAACACAGCTTTGTCAAATAACAGGGTACAGCTGCCCAGGCTTTGTCCCTGCGAGGGAGAGAAAACAACCATCTTGAGATGAAAGCCCAGACAGTTGTTAATCAGTTTCTAATGTCCCGTGCACAGAAATGTTGATGAGAATTCTCAAAGCAGACTCAAGGTCTGGGGTTTTACTTCTGCTGAGCCCTGGAATAGCAACTGCCTTGGGGAAGCTCTGTCATCCCTGCCTGTGATTGGTGAGTCCACCTCCTTTAGCACACAAAGGACTGTTTTCATCCCTTCTTCTAGAAATTAAGTCCCAGATATTGTTGCAGCTTTTCAGATTTTGCTTTTAAAATGTGCTTTTGTCTTAATTGTTTTTCAGCTGTGGCTTCTTAGAAATAATCCATGGAGAGGTAATTATAACAAGTGTAAGGACCATGCCTGTGGAAACATTGCTTCAGGGTGTCATCCAAAGAGTACTACCCACACACCCCTATGTTTTGGGTCTCAAATAAGGATGAAACTCAAAAAGCATCTCCTGGGTGCAAAAATCTTCCTTCTTTTTCACTAGTTGCAGGATTCCATGTGGAGTGAGTGTGATTTTCTAGATAAAGTAATGATAGTTTAAGATTAGGAGGTAACCATAACTTCTTTGCATATAATATGCTTCTATATGGGTACCTATTATACACTTGTGATAGTCAAACAGTCCATGTTTATAAACATTGATTTGGGGATGAAATAATTTCTGACAGAGGCAATAGGAGCTGCTTCCAGGCCCTGCATGGAACTCACTGTTTAAAATTTTATGTTCTCTTATATAACTCTGCATGTCAGGTTAATAATTTCCCTTTTGGTATCCCAGAATAAAAACTACATACTTCTCTCCTAACAGATAACTGCTACAATTGATACCCCAATGACACTAAATTATAGAACTCTAACCAAGCAGATTTTAAAGTAACAAAATAATTAATGAGATATTCACTATGTTATTATCAGACAGAAATTCAATACTGAATGGTTTTGATTGAACCCAAGCAACAGTCATGATTGTCATAGTCAAGTTGGTTTTGCTGTGATGAAACACCATGACCAAGGCAACTTTGGGAGAAGGGAATTTATTTGGCTTATGCTTCCACATCACTGTTCATCATGAAAGGAAGTCAGGATAGGAACTCAAGCAGGGCAGGAACCTAAAGGCAGGAGCTGATGCAGAGGCCATTGAGGAGTGCTGCTTACTGGCCTGTTCCTCAAGGCTTGCTCAGCCTGCTTTGTTATGGAACCCAGGACCACCAGCCCAGGGTTGGCACTACTCACAATGGTCTGTGCCCTCCCCAATCAATTACTAATTTAAAAAATGCTTTACAGGCTTGCCTACAGTCCAATCTTTTGGAGGCATTTTCTTAACTGAGGTTCCCTACTCTCAAATGATATTAACTTATGTCAAGTTGACATGAATTATTCAGCACAGTGATAACAACACCAGCAAGCATTCCAAACCTCCTGCACATCCTGTTTATAAATGACTTACTCATTTCTGACCTTACAAGATAGTTTCTAATTCCACACATAAGAAAACCTATGTGTAAACCTCTATGAATTGAAAATTACACTGAATGAAACAATGTATGTGTATACATGGACATTGCTAGAGAAAGAAAATATATATGTCATAAATCAATAACCATCTTCAATTATGGGTGTGGATTTATACACACCTTTGAATATGAATACGATCTTTGAACTTTCATGTAACTAGTAAATTATGGATTCATTATTCTGAACAAAATCTTACTGAGTCTGTTAACCAAAGTATGAAACTTAGATTGAGGTTGTCATTTAAACTATTGGCAGAATAGGCATGGGATTTCTGTAAACTTCAAGATATATAGAGTTAAATCATTAATCATTACAATTTTCAATTTCCATAGAGTTTGTTTGTTTGTTTATTTTTTCTAAGGAAGAGCAGAGGCACAACTCAAGGCATAAAAAGCTGTCTCGCTATCACTACCCTAAATCATGGAGCAAAATAGTGTTTCTCAAATGAACCAGCACACAGAAATTGTTCTCACAATGTTAAGGTTCCATAGCCTTCTGTTGCTCTAAATCTACCATTTAAAAACATCATTTCTTCATACTTAAATCCCAGGACAAGGATCAGCTACAGAGATGGAAAGTAGTTGTATTACAGTACTATATATTCAAGTTCAGAAGATATGATGCTCTATGAAAATCAAGTGGAATAAAGTTTCTCAGTCTACGGAGAGTGTTTTTTTCATTTACTCTTCTCTGTGTGGAATGAAGCAAGGATATTTTCAGATTCT